GGCAGCCATTGTGGCGTCCTTCAGCTCCGCCTACGTGCCTTTTGGCGGAGTCTCGGGTCCTCGGGCCGTTGCTGGGTACGGGCGTCCACGAGAGCTGTTAGCTCGGTGGAGCTGGTTCGGATCGGTGTGAGCGGAGCCCTGGCTGTGTGGACCCCTGGAACCTCCCCCGAGCGTCCAGTAGGGATGGACTCGAACCTGGGTCTCGTCCAGCCCCGCAGGACTGTTGGTCAAGTCATTTCACTTGCCACTTTCTCCAGAATAATCCCGTGCGAAATTAGGGGATGATGAGAGAAGTTAGAATGATGGTTACCCTGAGGGATTAGGGCTTGCTGGGTGGGGTGGGCTCAAGGGAACCTCGTGGGAGCTGGAAGCGTTCAGTGTCTTGGTCTGCGTTGTGATTACAGGGCTGAGTGTACATGCGAAGAATCGTATCAAGCTGGACGCTTAAGTTAGTACATGCTCTGTGCTTAATATACATATAACTCAAGTATTAAATAAAAGGATATGGGAATTACTCAGCTATAACAGTACCTTAAGACTTGTGATACAAGGGGAACCAGCAGTTAGCTGGCTATGTCGCTGGACTCCCACGTAGTCGATCGCGGTTCGCGTACCGGACCTGGTGGCTTAAAACTCACGCCGGGCGCGTGTGCGTGCGTGCCCAAGATCCCGAGAGGAGAATAGAGGAGAAGGGATTGCGCTGTGACCATCCCCTGGGGGGTGATTTCTCGCTGTCTGTCTCTATGTCTCTCTCTGTCTGTCTGGCGAGCGCACGTGCCCTACAGTGAAAATCTCTCAAAAAAAAAAAAAAAAAGACTTGTGATACAAGTAATATCATTATAGCTATGTTTGAATCCGTCAGAATTTCATAACTTATTTAGAACCCGATGAGAAGTAAAGTCAGCATTAATTTTTTTTTTCCAATGAGGGAGAGAAGTATTTTTGACGGGTCCCACCTTCGTCAGGTTCCTCTGTCCTAGCCTCCCAGTGAGCTAGGAATACAGTTGCACACACCTACACTCTGGCATGTTTGGTTGGTCTAGGAACCAGATCCCACCGCGCGGCTCGCATGTGGCCTCAGCCTGACCTGATATGCTGTACTGCTTGTGCCACTGTGGCTGTGCCCAACCTTTTTCATATAAACAGTACCTCTCTCTGATCTGAGAAAACACTTTTCTTACAGAAAGTATTATTTCCCAAACTCCCGTGATGTATTTTCGTGTTGCTGTTCTCTTAATTCTGATGTTTTTCCTTGGTTCTTACAGTAGCCCTAGGCACATATCCATCTAGTCATCTAGAAATTGAGGCTCAATGAGAGGAGTAACTTGACCAAAGTCACACAGGTGACAAAGTGAGATGAAATCTATTTCTACAATATTTCTTGGCAAACTTCATAATCTATTACGTCACATTTGCCTCTTCCAGAACAAATCAAGTCATTATGCCTTGTCCTTATACAGTTTTGTATTTCTTATTTTTAAAAAAGAATGATTTTATTTAACTTATTTATTTTTAATTTGATCAGAGCAGGACAGAGTGAGAGAGCGAGAGAGTGAAAATGAGAAAGCCACCAGGTTTGGGACTCAAACTGCAGTTGGCCATATGGGAGGCCAGCATCCTTCACCACCTGTGGGCCACCTGTGGGCCCCTACAGCTTTGTAGTTCAAAGCACAGTGAGGGGAAGCACAGTGAGGGGACCAGCAGGTAGCATGCTGGTTAAGGCACTGGACCCTCCCACATGGCTGACCATGGTTCAAATCCTAAATCTGGTGGCTTCCTTTCTCTCTTCGCTCTCTCATCAAATTAAAATAAATGAATGAATAAATAAAATTAAATAATTATTTAAAAAAAAGAAAAGCACAATGAGCAGCACAGAATCTTATATGCACCTCAGATTCACTGAATTAATTATTTTCTCCGTGCTTTATCTTTATAGATTTCATTGTTGGGCCAGCTGGTAGCATGGTGGGTAAGGCAGCTGGATCCCACATGGCCGACTGCACAGCTCAAGTCCAGGATCCTGTGCCAAAAAAATACCCCAGGAATGTGTACACGTGTTCCCAAAATGAAAGAGGAGGATGGAGAAGAGATTGCATCATGGCGGTCTCCCCTGGGGGTTGATTTCTCACCTCTTCCCACCTCTAGTGAGCCACATGCCCTATAGAAAACTAAAATAAATATAATTAT